CATTGTAATCGTTTGAATTTTTATTATTTTTTTTCATTTGCACCATGACAATGTCACTTCAACTTCGTATGCCTCCCACACCGATTTCCTTCTTTTGTAAAGGGTTCTTCGACGAGAATGGGTTGCTGTTAGGCTTTTGTGATGACCATGTAGTTTCTTAATACCGAACCATTGAATTGCATAAAATAGCTGTAATAGAAGTATGTTTGAAGGATATGCAGTACAGTGATCTCTCTTGATTTTAGCTCATAAAAAAAGCATTGCTGGTATTTAAATAGATGGTTCTACCGTGTTCTAATCCAAGGGCATAAATTGAAACTACCATTTTCTGACACAAGGTGAAATGGTGGTGTTTCAATCCGCTATAACGGAGTCACCAAAAGTGTGACCGAAGACGACCGAAGAGGCGATAAACACTCAAATAAGTGTCAAAGATTATAAGCTTTGCGGATAAGATAGAGTTCTCTATGTCTCGCTAAATATGTTCAGTATTTATACAACAGGAATTTAGTTCGGGTGCATCATTGACTATAAATACATTAGCTTTTGGAATTTCCATAAACTTGCAGATAATCAGTTTGGTTGGACAAGTTCTATGGTGGATGTAATCAGTACCATAATAATGTGGTCTGCTGTCAGAAGTCATTATTTTCTTAAGGTCCTAAAAAATATACGAAGATGTTAACTAGTCCACGAAATGGGTTATTCAGAAATCATAAACAGTTGAAATACATCGGCGTCTACAGCAAAAGCACGTGGTCTTCAAGAATAGTTAAGATTACAGAGAAAATCTCTTCGCGAGAACCAACAGACGAAACAGCATAACCGAAATACTAACTAAATACTTAATCAGTAAATGGTATATGTGGGAATATTTCACACATTGTGATTTGTCCATATTATGTATTCAACATAAAGATAATGAGTCTAATTTCTGTGAAACGATAATACCCGACGCTTTTCTATTCTATATAAACTAGAATAACGTAAGGTTCTAACGTACATGAAAATTTGAGGTTATGTTCCTGGAAGCTGAAACGTGAATTTATCAAACATCGACGTATATTTTAAATAAAACTACAACATATTAAAAGTGCATAAGAACCACCTCCGAATAAATTAAATTGCGGCTTAGTTCCATTTGCATATCGTACGCCACTTATTGTAGCACCCGTTAATGTCAACAGTAATTTTAGTTTTTGTGTTGCCTCACTCGCAAATTACCATCATTATTTTAATTCTTATTTATAGACATGGCAATAGTTGCTTCCAACCTTAAACATCGAAGTGCAACAAAAAACAAGGTAACAACTACAATAGCAACAAACAACTTGCTGCCATGTGTACCAGACGTTGCATGCAACGGTTGCTGTAACATGCACAATGTTAATTTGCATTTCACAACATGGCAACCATGCCCTTCTAACGCCGCCACTCAAAAGCCGTAGCCCCAAGGGGCAATAACAAAACTATCAGTATTTATTTAGGTAATCACGTAAACATAGCACATAGTAATAAAATGCTTTACATGTGTGAGCGTGTGTGTGCGTGTGTGTTTGTACGCGTATCTCGGTTGAGATCCGGTTTCCAGCTTCATCTCGTTGTGTATGCCCACACAAGATTTTACTACGGGTATTTATGTGCGCGCCAGCCGCTGACCTACTTCCGGTTGTTGTAGCACAACTCAATTGTTCTTGTTTTTGCCGTCGCCGCTGTCACTGTCGTTACACCGGTTGTTATTGTTGCTTGTGTAATGCTTTTGAGCCAACGCAAAGTCCGCAGTGACGGCACCAAAGTTTCTGCAACATTTCGTGGCAGCTTAATCCTGTAGTCAACTTCGTTTGTACTCGTTTTAGGAGGGTTCGATATACTTGAGAAATCGATTCGGAAATATAGCAATAATTTACACAAATATTAAAGTCATATTTTTATGTTGCATGGATTTCTGAGGCGAGATGACTCGGATGCTGTTGCTGTTGTAAAAAAAATATTCTATTAGTAGTTGAGTTAATGAAACTAGCAGTAAATATTTACTGCATTATCTCGACACATTGGTGTAATCGATTATTAGCTCGTGTGATAGATCGAATTGTTTGGAAAAGTTTTCTAACCTCGGTAAGAAGTTCTAATGCTCCGAGTATAATTAAAACAAGTAAGGAAGCGCAAAGTTCTGATATATCCGAACATTTCGTACTTTTGCAACTTGCAAGGAGCACAGGCGGATGAACATCTTCAGGTTTTGGCAAAACTTTATATCGAATTAAGGAAAGTATCGCCGTGATTCAATCATTTAAGGCAAGAGGATACACTAAGAAAAAGATTCATTTTGAATTTCATTAAGATTTCTTACATATTTACCGATAGATGTGGACGAAGTAAACCGGAGCTTCGAAAATATTTATGTGAGGTATTTGGGGGAAGTATTGATCTGCTTTTACCCATTTTTGGCACAAGTTATAGTTCGAATCCGAAATATTTAGACATAAGATGAAATACCTTGAGGGCACTATTTGTGCACAGTTTTAACTGATAACTTTATTGACGTTTGGTTTGCATACTATAAAGTGAAATATTCAGAAGAAATGTTTGGGTTACGTCACGCACCTAATTTCGACGATGCATCGCCCCTAGTCCAATTTTCACGCCAGATCCTTAAAAGTGCTTTTCTACCATTCTGGTTGTGAAATTTAATGTTTGCGGCTCATTTGTTCAGTGAGTTATTGTACTTTTAGTAGTTTTCAACATAACCGTTATATGGGGAGTGGGCGTTGTTAATATCCTATATATACTACCCATTTTTACAGAGTTTAAAGAAGTGTAAAGAAGATCATTTATATATATATAATTCTATATCTATCTCGATTAGTTCTAGGTGATACATACAAAAAAAATGAGGCTTACAGGTATTATTAGTAAACATTGCAAAAAACAACAGGTCTTCCTCATATATAATATTTAAATCTATATTGCAATAATATATTTTCCGGGGTTCTTCTGAGTTTTTTAGGTTAATTCTAAAAATTCGAAGCAAACTCATAATTTTTGGATATACGATTACAGATACATATTGACATATTGACAAGTGGATTAAAATTTTACCAAAGAAACTGTTGTAAAACTAAGCCGAATATGATGTAGATCTCGCAAAGACATTTGAAAAATTAGATGAAAAAATGGGAGGGTTTTTGAATATGTTAAATAAAAGTAAACAATACTTGTAATTGAGAGACACACTTCCCTCCTTTAAGCTATCGCCACATCTTACTTCTAATATACACATTTGCTCCAGCTATCAAAAAAATACTCATCTCTTTAATCTGGATAGAGTCAAAACCTAACAGGACAATAAACGTTAAAGTATGAAATACAGTGCCTACCAGAAAGTTTAAGCAGTAAACTGACGTTCGTAATTGCTCAAGAGCCAACTAAATCACAAGAAGCTCGATTTTTAACATAGGTGTAAAGGTCTTTACTAAGCACCCGAACAGAATAGCAATCGACCTTAAACTTCTAAAGAAACCCTGTATCTCCCGTAGCACTATTTTTAATCAAATTTGAGCAGCAGCTTTAATATCAATGACACTGCCAGCTTTATTGTAAGAGCTTGAACCTGGCTCGTAAGTAATAAGTGTTTGTTTTCCTTAGTGCTTGAACAACGCAGAATATTATTTCTCAGCTGCCATTCTAAAATGAATCTCTTGACAATCTGTGGCGAATATCATATTGTACATATCAATTCCATATTGTTATCTTGAGCGTTGAAACTTTCACCTACGCAAAGGAAAAATAATCTTAATCTTTCCAATGAATATAATGCTAAACGGAATTGATATTTCCAGTGATTAATTTTATCGACATAACCAATTGCTTTTCCCCTAACGATAAAATAAAAGATACAAAATAACATAGGCTATCGAGAGAGCGGAACAAACTTTCGCTGTACGTGCATGTGAATTCCCCCTCTTAAACTTCGAGCAGCCCTCTAAACATCCAACCACATACTGACAGATAATGTTGGAGTGTGTGTGTCATAAAACATTCCTCAAATGCACGTTCTTTTTGTTCAAATGCAGTTTTATTTGTTCAAGGAATTATATACATGCATATGTATCTAAATACCAGTCATTTGATTTCATGATATCATACAATCAATAATTGAAGTTAACACATTGTACTAGGGTACCTCAAAAGGCTCAAGCAAAATAGAAAATTACTTTCATAATAATTTTTTATTCCCGTTCGTTCATCTAGATGTCTTAAGTTGTGAGATGAAAGCATCATTTGACCCTGATCTCGCAAAAATGGGACAGTTAAGAAGGAAAGATTTAGTTGTTTCTCCTTATCTTCTCCCATGAACTCTACTACGGCAAGATTTTTAACCCAATCTCGTGGATACCTATCATAATAGGGGAAGACAAACCTTACTGACGGTGAAAATATCACTAAACTTCTTACGTTTTAACTCGAGTGAGAAAGATTTTACAATTGCCTTAATGTTATTCTCGTATACCAAAGCAAAGAAGCGGGACTCCGAAATATTACTATTATTCTGTTTATGAGAGTGACCTTCTATCTTCTTATGTCCAAGAATAGAAGATTTCATTCCGCGAACTTATTCTAAATAAGGTAATAAGTAGCTCCTTCTCGGACGACCAAATTTTTTTATATGCTTTCATGCTCTTACCACCCTCGCATGGACGAACATATTCTTGTACATGAGTTTTATTGTTTACGAAAGAAAATAATTTTTCCCACATACATAAGTACATATGGTAAATATCCCTCTGGTGGGAAAAAATGCGGAGTCATATATGTGCTTTGTAAAGATTTGCGCCAAAAGAATTAATTATATAAATAAACTATGTAAATAAGCAATAAAGGTATACATATATACATGCATATATGAAAGCTATCTACACAATACAAAAAGTTCTGTATAAAAGCGGGACAACATTGACCTAACTGTCTGTCTTTCAAGTCCTTTGAAGCAGCGCTTTAACATGTTCTATCAGCTGATACGTGTAGTGTGTTTCGTCAGTTCTTGGCGTTTGGTAGTGACTAACGCAAATTTTCAACATAACTTCGAGCACTTTTCGGTTTTGCAAAACAACACCGCGAACTTCTCGCGTGGCATTAGAGTACTCATTGAACGCATACAAACCGAGGGTTCATTTGTTAGTTACTTTTTGCTAAGGAAGCATCCAGCCGATTGTGTGAATGAACAATTACCGATAAATTTCGACTTACCATTCATGCAGCTGAACAAGAGTGGACATTCGTATGTACGAGGCACTGGCAGTAGTGTCTTATTGGCAATACTATGTCTTCGACAACTCACCGATAAAAATTTCGTGTTGAAATTCTCTGGAGATTTGCGGCACATACGCACTAGACGTATTCTGGTTATACACAATAGAAATTTGGCGCAGAGTACAAACTCCGAAATCGAGACGTTTTTCCGTAATTGCATGCAAGTCAAGTTTCTGCACGTTATACTTGTACATCGCGATTTCGCTGAGACTAACATCTTTCACTCATTTAATCAATTTCCCGACCTTCAATTGGAGACACGTGATCTACGTGCCACAACGCCAATCTATCCGAATCGCTTGGCAGATGTCTCCAAAAAGAAGTTACGCATACTGGTCGATCAAATAGAGCCGACTACCATGTTGTATGAGATCGGTGATAAACTTATTTTAGAAGGTTACATTGGTTACTTTATAAAGACGTTCGCTTTACGGTACAATTTTCAGCTTTGGCTGCCGGACGAATATGAGTCCACCAAAAAACATGTAATCTCTGTAGAGGAGATACGACAGGCGGCGCGCAATGACTCGATAGATGTGGGCGCGAGCTTATCGACACCCCAAAAGGAGACAAACTTACATGAGTACATCTATCCGGTTGAGTTTTTTCAGTGGGTAACCATGTTGCCGGTGGAGCCACAACTGGAAACTTATTATTTTTTCATCTCCATCTTTCCTCCCACCACTTTAATTTGTATATTTGTTATAACCTGGTGTTTATCCGTGGTCTATGTTGTACATTTGAAACTAAAGTGCCAAAATCTTCGTTGGAATCGCTCATTAATTTTGCTAGTTTTAATGCCGTGGGATCTTGACTTACTTCGTGGTTTACTGAATCAGTCAACCGCTATGCGCCTGAATTCCGCCACTCGACGTGTAATTTTCATACTAGTTTTTGCGTTCGGTGGTGCATTGAATAATTTTTTCTCCACCAAAATGGTGAACTGGTTAACTTTGCCGCCACACAAAAAACCAATTGAAACTTTTGAAGATGTTACTGAGCGCAACCTGCAGATACAGATCGCCGACTCGGATATAGCTGAGATTAAGTTCTATCGTGGAGAGACATTTTGGAAGAACAACGCTCACATCTTCAAAGTAGTGTGCATGTATGATGAGTTTCTTGAAAATATACGCAAGATGGATACACGTTATGGTTATTTGATAGACACCTTAACTTGGCCCATAGTCGAACAACGTCAAATGTACTTCAAACATCCGTTATTTCGATTTTCCGAAAGTCTTTACTACACGAAGGGCTCACTACTCAGCTTGCCGATAAGTGAGAATTCCATGTATAAAGATCTTCTGAGTGAATTCGTCTTGCGTTCACGTGAATCGGGCCTGTTAGATTATTGGTACAAAAGAACATTCTACACAATGGTCTCTATTGGTCGTTTCAATCTTACAGATCTCAGTACGAATCAGATACACGAAGTGTTAACTTTGAAGGAGTTCGAATGGGTTTGGATCGCGTATGCTGTTGGGGTTGGCTTGAGTGGTCTCGTTTTTATGTCAGAATTGTATTGGTGGTACAAATCCTAATTCATATTACCGTAACAGTGATTTTTAAAAGTGATAAGTTCTAAAAATTGTATGAATATATTAATAATATGTTCAAAATAATGTCAAAGTTATATACATATGTACATTATAAGTGTAATAGGTTGAAAAATAAATGGATTAGGAGTTACATAACAGAAAACTGAGCAGAATTGTCTATATAATGTCCGTTCTACTTTCCTTATTACAGCTTATAAACTTTTTCATAGCAGAAATAATCGGAAAAGTGTGCTATTGCCAGTCAAGGGTTGACCAATATTAAACTTCGACCAATTAAACTTAGTTATTCGGGCGGAATCCGAATCGAAAGAGGTATTAAATCTTTTAACCTGTACTTCAAGAAACCATTTCTCGAAATATATTAGGAATTTTCTGTAAAGTTTTGTAACATCGAATAAAAAATTCAACAAAACGAAGGAGTATAGAGCTTTAAGCTTAGATATTAAAGGATCAAAGTCCTGTAATGATAAACACAGGCTTATCACCTCTTTGCATTACTTAAAAAATACTAACAAAGAAACAAAATAAAATAATCTAAGGCTGGTTTGGATAAAATTGATCTAGATCGTGAAAAAATGTTGGATCCAAAAAAATCATAGTATTCAAAAAAATGGATATATATGTTTTGTTTCTAATAAAAAGGATTTAAAAAACGGAGGTGGTGCAGGCCATTACTGAAAGTCGAATTTAAATGAAATTTCCTCAGTAACCAAACTGGTCTCGAAAACAACAGCAAACTGTTCATTACTACATATACATAGATGTAGGTGCATGTGTATGTATATAAGTGTATGTTTGTGTGTGGTTTAGTTAAACAGTTACATGTTAAAGTCGCGTGAATTTTGGAGAGTGTGTGGCATGCCATGCAGTTGACGTAGAGCAATGCGGAGAACAACAGCAACAACGACAACAAAAGAGGATGTGAAATAGGTAGGAGAACAACAACAACATCAATAGCAGTAACAACAATAGCAATTAAGCAGTTAAGCAAGAACAATCGACGCTATTTGAAGTTTTCGGTGCTGCTGTCAGTCGCCAGCAGTGTAGAGCACAGATATTGACTTGGCTGACAGCAGTCGAGCAAAGCGCACCAGAAGAGCCCAGCAGCCAACAGTCAAGCCGGCAAGACGACCCAGCAATGAGTCTGCGCAATCAAGTGTTGTGGCGCATAACGGCCCGCCTTGCGGAGCCCGCAAATGAAGTTTACAGCCTGCAACAAACACACATACCGTTTCTTTCTTCTTATTTTTGATGGAGTACATACATACATATTTATATGTGCTTCGTCGGCACAAGAATTTGGTTTTGTAACGTTTTGTACGTAGCGCTTATTGGCGCGGCAGCGACGGCGACTGAGCAGCAGCATATCGAATCGTAACGCATCACATCGCATTACGCGTATATAACGGTGAATTGTCGAAAAATCACCTCCCGTACTGGATTGGCTCTTTGTTTGTGTGCCTCTGTGCTTATAATTATTTTTGCTGTTTTTACTCGCCGTCTTTAGTGATTTGTTGCGCAGCTTGTTGCTTCTTCAGTTGCTGGCTGCTTTATTTTGTGCTCGCTATTGTTGTTGTTGTTACTTGATTAAAGTTTTTTTTCCAATGGTGCGTTAGTTAGTCATTTGGATTTTCAGTACTATGTTTTTTCCCATAACTTTTTTATACTCTCGCAAGCTGTTGCTACAGAGTATAATAGTTTTGTTCACCTAGCGGTTGTTTGTATCACCTAAAACTAATCGAGTTAGATATACGGTTATGTACATATATATAAATGATCAGGATGAAGAGACGAGTTAAAATCCGGGTGACTGTCTGTCCGTCCGTCCGTGCAAGCTCTAACTTGAGTAAAAATTGAGATATCTTTATGAAACTTGGTTGACATGTTTCAAGACACAACAAGATTCAAGACTCTTATTTGGTACACAGGATCACATTAGGGAGGGGCATCTGCAGTTAAAATTTTTTTTTAAAGTGGGCGTGCTCCCGTCCTTAATAGGTTTAATGTGCCGATCTCCTAAACCGCTAATGCTTTAATAACAAAATTCACTAGAAGCAAATGTTTTTAGAACTTCTACCTACAGCGTAAAAATGGGTGAAATCGGGTGGCAACTCCGCCGGCCATATAACGGTACTGTTAAAAACTACTAAAAGCGCGATAAATCAAGCACTAAACACGCCAGAGACATTAAATTTTATCTCTGGGATGGTATGAGATGACTTTATAGGAACCGCGTTCAAAATTAGACAGTGGGCGTGGCACAGCCCACTTTTAGGTGAAAACCCATATCTTGAGATCTGCTTTACCGATTTCATCCAAATATTTCTATGTCATAGTGTGAAAATGGGCGAAATCGGTCTACAACCACGCCTACTTCCCATATAACACCATTTTAAATTCCATCTGATTCTTTCACTTTCCACTGAGCAAATCAGGCAACAATGACTGTATCGGGATAAAACTTTGCGTGAATAATGCGATTAAAGTATGCCACCTTGTATCCAAAAATTGTCTAAATCGAACCAAAACTGTTCAAGCCCCTAAGTACTAAATATGTGGACCCCAGTGCCTATAGTTGACCTTCTACCGAAAATATCGGCCAATCCACAAAGAAATATCAAACGAGAGTATAAACTTTGCTAGAGTATAAAATGTTCGGTTACATCCGAACTTAGCCCTTCCTTACTTGTTTTTTTTTAAATATATGTATTTAAGCATTTCTGGTTCTGTGACGATGTTCCTGAAATATTTAGTTACTTCCATACACTTGTGTTTAATTAGTGGGTTTTCAGTCTGCGTTATGCATATTTTAGCTAAAAGATGTGTGGTATTTTTATTGTTATTTAATGCGTGTTTAGATTTTTATAAATATGCACTATAATTTTGCATGTTTTTACATTTAGATCAATTTATTTAGTGTAGTTTTGGAAAGTTGACCGCTCTAAGCCGATTTATATGCTAAATCAGTTCACATATTACACATTTTGTATCCAAACTTCAATCCTAAAGCGTATTCTCAGCTTATTATTATTTTTCATTAGTCATTTTTATTTTAATTCAGGTGGCAACTACGTAAAATTAACACTTTACACAAGGTTTTCTGTAATAAAAAAGCTTAGATACCAAAAAGGAAAAACAATTTTGTTTGCTTTTTAAATATTAGTGATTTGGCATTTTAAAATATTTCAAGAATAAAACCGCAATAAAAATTCTGTATAAATCAGTACTTTGAATAGTATCCACAGCAATGCCCTGCTCCGTTTTATTATTACAAAGCGTTTCGAAATGACGACGCACAAGGAAAATTTGTCAAATCTGCTGGTAAATTATATTTGAGATTTAAGTTTAGTATGGTTAAGTGTTGAGTAAAGAACTCAACATTGAACAACTTTTAAAAATCGTGGAAATTTATTTCAAAAAGTCACATTCAGTGCGCAAACACATTAACCGATTTTATAAATATTTAGCATCACGCCACCTCCTTGATTTCAAAACGATGTACCACAATTTTCTAATATTTTAACATAAGTAAAAGTCAGTAATAGCGTTAGAGCTTCATTTATTCGGTACCTGTAAACTTTAAAAAGGATAGTCCAATTTCAAAATGGGTGGATAGTTACCCCGAACTAAAAAAGGAAGAGAGGCGCTTATGTAGACAATAAAAGAAAGAGGCTGAAATGCGTGATTATGAAAAGCTTGAAAAGCTGCTCGACATGGGTGGCTCGAAAATTCCCCGAAAAGATGTGGCGATACACAAAAGGTTTTAACATCGGATTATACTTTTTTACAAAGAGGTGATCTCGTGGCTGATAACCAGGCTTTACTGAATTTATGGAGAGAACACTTCTACAACTTGCTCAACGGCAGTTAATGTATTGTATAACAGCAGGAGATGCCAAACCTAATTCCTCAATTAATGACGATGGAATAGCTGTTTCATTGCCCGACTATGCAGAAGTTCAAAAAGTGATTTCCCGCTTGAAGAACAACAAAGCTGTGGGGCCCGATGAGTGGCCGGTCGAACTATTCAAATATAGCCGCGAAGAACTGCATAAGGTGAGTCGATTTATCCATGTCCATTTGTCCGTACGTCTGTCTGTAAGCATATATGCGAACAAGTCAGTTAGTTTAAGAAGACACACACAATCACAGCTCACTTCGAAACCATGTCGCCGGAGTAAGAAAGGATAATTAATTTTTTGTTTGAAAATCAAGGCTGCTCTTCTCATTCCTGGTTTTTAAAAAATCCACGTATCTTAAAATTATTTTTTCTTTGTAAATTGCTCTGATTTATTAGTTTTTATATCAATACTTAGACCAATATCAGCTGCCTGTCTGCAATTTTTTAAATAAATGATAATAAAAGTATTTTAAATTCCGAATTTAATTTATTCTGTCAAGGATGAACCAGACGGTAAGCTCGGAAATATTCTAAAAAACTATGTTGGAAATAGTTGAATCATTTTAACAACAATACCACTTTTAACAAATTAACAACAACAATAACCACTTTCCTTGAAACCCCCAACCACTGCTCTTCACGCATTTGTTCACGGCATTCACTATACAATTGTGGCTTTATAAATCGAAGAGTTCAAAAAATTAATTAGGAATGAAATACCTCATGATCGTTGAACTACATAGTATAAGTGAACATTTAAGTGTCAGAACAAAAGATTTAAGATACAAACTTTGCCAGGAAAAATTAACTAATGCGAATAGTATCTAGCGAAAAAAGTTCACTCGAGTGTTTTTAAGTGCTTCAACGAGCGACTTACATTTCCTCAATATGTCTTTCAGCTTCACGGCAAGTACGTTTGAATCTCTCAAGCACATAACTACATAAACGTTTAAAATTGTTTGTTTTATGTTAAAAAGCATAGGCGTAGTTTCTTTCGTATCAGAATGTTCACAAACCTGAGCGAAAGCCTTTCAAAACAACTCAATTTTGTTTGATAAAAGTACACACACATACATATATACGTGCCGCAAAATAGAGTCAACAAGAACAAACCTTTTAACGTTATGCAGTTGCTAACGGCAAATAAGCCAAAAAGACATCAAAAT